AAGAGAAGAGAATGAGATCTAGCAAAATTGTAAACAAAGGAACAGAGCCACAAACCTGTTTTACATTCACATAAAATGTTACATTGATTGATTAAACAGTTTAAAAATATCTTCATATGTACGGTACCTTTGATCATAAAACCAGGTCATATTAAGGTGACCTCTATTGAAGAGTTCTGTTTAGGGTCACTGTGTGCCAACCACCCTCATTAAAATAGTCACAGACGTAGGTAGAGGAAACCAGATAAAAGGAAGATCTCTATCTGCTTCCCCCAGCAATCCTTACCTAGCATAACTTAAGAACAGCCAGATGGAAGAGATACATGGGGCAAGGTGTGGGGAAGCAGCAGAGCTTCTCTCCTCTGGGAGCGCCACCCTCCCAGCACCTCCATATGTTCAGCAACCCAGAAATTCCCCTAAACTCTATCCTATTGAGTTTTTATGGAGGCTTCATTTCATAGGCATGATTGATTTGATCATTGACGACTGGTGATTATCGAAATCCCCAGATCCTCTCGTTTCCAAGGGGTTGGGGCTGGAGCCGGAAGTTTCAGCCTTCTTATTGCATGATTGGTTCTCCAGCAGCCAGCCCCACACCTGTCACATTAGCCTGCAAAAGACACGTACCACTTCAGAGAGTCAAGAGTTTTCGGAGCCCTGTGCCAGGAAATGGGGGCAGAGACCAATAATAGATTTATTATTAAAAGTCACAATATCACAGGCAGTTTCTTTAAAAACTAAACATTCACTTACTGTACAACTCAGCAATTTTACTGTTGGGCATTTATCCCAGAGAAATAAAAATATATTCAATACAGAAATGTCTATAGTTTTATTCGCAGTGCCACAAATTGGAAGGAAAGTACTTAAATGTCCTTCGGCGGGTGAACAGTGAAACAAATTACGCATCCATGTCATGGAATATTACTTGGCAGTAAACAAGAGCAAACTGTGGGCATGTGGAGCAACTTGGTCTCAGGGCATTGTGCTGAATGAAAAGCCTTAAGATGTCACGTGAACGATTCCATTTAGGTAACATTCTTTAAATAGCAGAATCATAGAAATGAAAAACAAAGGAGTGGTTGCCAGAGGTTAGGAGTGTTGCAGTGTGCGGAGGTATGTGATGGTCAGAGATAACATGAAAGAGAACTCTGTGGTGATGGAATAGTCCTGTAAGTTGATAGAGGCTGTTGTTACAGGAAGCCGCCCATGTGATGAAATGACAGAGACCCGCACACACGCGTTGCAGCAATGTCAGATCCCTGGTTTTACTCCTGTACTGTAGTCACGTAACATGATAACTGGGGAGACGGTGAGGGAGAATTCTAAGCAGAAGGCTCACGTGGCTTCCTGCCTCCTACCATGCCACCCCCACCGGATGCATGAAACTTACAGTCTGAGTCAGCCTGCCTCTGTCCTCATCCCTCTGTCTGTCTGTCTCTTTCCCTCCCTCCCTCCCTGCCTCCTCACTGTTTCACATGGTCATTATAAAAGAGAAACCTCAAAAATTAGGAAATGCAGATAAATTGAAAGGAAAAATTTTAAACCATGAGGTTGTTTCTTTCTTATTTAAATATGGTGATTCCCTTGGGCCTAGGCAGGATCTGTAGCCCGCAGCCTTTGAGTTCTGGACCCATCCTGTGAGATTTTTAGGGTTCAAAGTAGAAAGATTTGGTCCCACTTTCTGCTTCCAGTCCTGTCTGGTACCCGCTGCCTAATCTTTTCTGGCTAATCATTGTGCTTCCCAGTAATTATGTTTACCATTTTCTGACATAGGGATTAACAACATAGGCTCTGCACTCAGAGTGCCTAGGTTTAAGTCTTGACTCCACTACCTCCTTAGTAGTTCTTCAGTCTCTTTGTGCCTCAGTTTCTTCATTTGTAACTACCACCTATCTCAGAAGCCGTGGGAAGGATTAAGGGCCGTGGTGGGAAGCACTCACTGACTCTTGGATGTCATTATTTATGGTCATTACTTGGTGTCTCTACTGCATTTTGTTTATCCGCTGCCGGTTCCGTGACTGCCCATCAGTGTGCCTTGTGCCTGTTCTGTAGATTTTATTTCACAGTCTCTTGGTTTTGGTGGGTGGCACACTGCCCTGAGAGGACGGGGACGTGAGAAGGATTCTGAGCCCTTTAGTTGTCTCTAGTGCTACATCATGATTGTCATCATTGCTGTAAACCAAAAAGTATCTGAGACAAGTCTTAGTCGATTTAGAATGTGTGTTTTGCTAAAGTTAATGACGCACCCATGACACAGCCTCAGGAGGTCCCGACAACGTGTGCCCCAGGGTGGTCGGGGTACAGCTTGCTTTTATACACTTTAGGGAGACATGAGACATCAAGCAATGTATGTAAGATATACATACATATATGTTCGGTCCAGTAAGGCGGAGCAATTCGAAGTGGGTGGGGGGTTTCCAAGTCAAGTAGGTAAGAGACAAAAAGTTGCATTCTTTTGAGTCCTTTATCAGCCTTCTAATGAATACACAATTGTGTGTGACTCAGTGAACCTACATTTTTACATGAACAATAGGGTAGAGGAAGCAATCAGATACGCATTTGTCTCAGGTGAGCTTCAGAGGGATGACTTTGAGTTGTGTCTGTCCTTTGTCCATAAGGAATTTTCTTGTGGGCAAATGGTGAGGAAGGGATGTGGGTTGTTATCTTTGTAGCTATCTTATTTAGCAATAAAATGGGAGGCAGGTTTGCCTGACGTAGTTTCCAGCTTGACTTTTCTCTTGGCTTAGTGATTTAGTTTCCTTTTGCATTGCTAACTCAATCACAGGAGACAGGAGTGTGGACTGATTATAGCAAGAATGCCAAAGTATGTAACAGCTTCCTTAGTCATGGTAGAGATTGAGAAACGTCAGCTCACCTAAGCTTTGAGGTTAGCTGGAGTCCAGTAGAAGAGTTATCACTAAGGACCGGCCCTTCTCTGTTTCCACTGGTGCCCATTCATTGAAGCTGAGATTGGACTGTGACTATGTACCAGTAGCAAAGGTGATGGAAGTCAAACATTGCTGTTAGTATTAGGGGCTCACGGCCTGCTGGGGAAGGGACCCATCGGGCATAGCTGGCAGTCATGGCCAGGGTTGTGGAAACCCAGGGCCGGGCAGGGTTCAAATGCTCCTCAGAGTGTGCCAGCAGCCTCAGCCTCAGGGAGAGCTTGTCAGGGGGTGTTTTACAAGGTCTCCAAAAGCCTCTTATGCCCTTCAGAGTGAAAAGCACGGCATTGGTGATGAAGTCTTGTGGCAAATATGCAAGGCACATGTGGATATTTCCTTCTCTTGGAGACTTAGGAGGTAGCCCCTGTCTCCTAGTGCAGTGTTTATAGCATAGTCCACTGGGACTGCTGCTCTGACAGACTGTGTCACTGCTTTGGGAATGTTTTTTGGAACTTCCAGAAAGCCTCAGTAAATCCTGACTGCCATGTAACTGTGTCCTGTGCTGCTGAGCTCTTAACATGAAGCAGCAGCAGTGACCCTGGCGGGTCGGGCTGACGTGCGTGGGAACGGTGGGAGTGACCCTGGCTGGGAAGCAGGGAGGCCTGGATATTGTTTCTCCTGGCTCTGTGTCCTGCGGCTCTCGTCCCTGTGCTCAGAGCTCTCAAGCACCCACGATGGCCTTCTCAGGCCGAGCGCGCCCCTGCGTTATCCCAGAGAACGAAGAAATCCCACGAGCGGCCCTTAACAGTGTCCCCGAGGCCAATGGGACCGAGGACGAGAGGGCTGTCTCTAAACTGCAGCGCAGGCACAGTGACGTGAAAGTCTACAAGGAGTTCTGTGACTTTTATGCGAAATTGTGAGTGTCTCCTCTCCTGGAGTGCCCTCTTCCAGGTCGGGCGTTCTTGGCTGGCTGTTCCGGAGCCATCCTGAGCTGGGCCATACAATTTTATTGACTGGACTTTGAGTGGGAGTTTTCCAGGGTGGTAGGGCTCCGAGGGGCTCGCAGTGCAGCACGTTTGGGGAGACAGGAGGCTCCTTGTCGGTAAGACATGCAGCGACACGCAGATGGGAGGGAGGTGCTGCCCTCACTGAGAGCACCGCGGCCCCGTCTTCAGTAGATTCCTGATCACTTGGTAGCTGCATTTTCATCATGTCGTCCACAGGGGAGGCTTATCGTTGTCGCTGTCAGGAATTACATTAGAAAAATTCTGCACTCTAAAACAGCCCAAAGATAAGGGGCAGATGGGTTGAAACAGTGAAAAAAACAAATTACAGACTGTTTAAAGATAAATATTTTTGTTATGTGTAACAATCAACAGTTTGAAGTAAGCTAACTGGGTTTCTTAATTGAATGAATAAATACATATATTGTATAAGTAGCAAATCAATACACATATAGAACATACTGTTAACTCGAAAAAGCTAGCCTAATTTATATTATTAAATGGGTTTTAGTAAACACATTTTTTGAGAAAATGCAGAGTAGCCATCAGACCAGCTCAAGATTATTGACCTCATTCAAAGTTGTGAGCTTAGAATTACTGCATATCCCCAATTTGTCAAGTAAGAGTTAATGAGAATTTAACTGACCCGGTTCTCTACTTCCATAATCCGTTCTCTGTGGTACAGATGTCACTTACCTTCACAACTCACAGAGAGCTCTTGGTCAGTTGGACAGTAACTGGGGAATTGTAATAATACAGTCACCAATGTTTTTACTGCTTGAACTCTCAAGATGATTTTTGGATTTATACATTGCTGCATTTTAGGACCAAACAATTTGTTTTGCACACTTGAATAATGGAAAGCAAGATATCAAGTGTGCTGTGTGAGGTTGATTTGTGGAAGTAGATCAGCTTCATCAGTCATGCCTGGCCTGATTTTTACATATAAATATCTATAGATAGGTAGATACTTCCCCACTTACGTATTTCTTGTCATCAACAGTTTTTAGTGAAAATCTTTTTCTTAAAAATTAACTAATTAATTATAACTAATCCGATAGCTATAACTGTCACTAATGACTTTTTTAAAGTAATTTCTGTCATCTGTATTAAATATAAAATCAACATTTAAAAAAAATAAAAAATAAAAAACAGGCATTGTGCCAGAGGGTCAAAGGCAAAAGAGGAAAGGGAAGCCTGACTGGTTCAGCGGGCAGCAAGGGGATTGTTCTGTTTCCTTTTTTCCTCTGCTTGTTATAAAAAGGAATACTTCTTGCAAAATACATATTATGTTACTTCTAAAACTAGCGCATTTTTCCCGTGTGTGGGAAGTAACTATGTGCTTGTTTTTATGATGTAGCTACCTATTTCCTAATTCTACTTGAGTATTTGAACTTAAGTAGAAACAATCTATATTATAATGAGTTTAAACTGGTCAGTGACAATCAAACATTTTCATCTAAGGGCCTCTTAACACTTAAAAACTATTAAGGTCCCCAAAGAACTTTCATTTATCAGTATTTACTGTATGAGAAATTTAAACTGGGAACAATTTAAAATACTTATTATTTCATTTAAAAAAAAAACAATAAGCTTATTACATGTTAATAGTAAATGTTAATATTAATGTTTTCATGAAAAATAACTGTTTTCCAAAATGGAAGAGGCTTAGAGGAAAGGATGGCATTATGTTACATTTTTGTGAATCTTGTTAATATCTGTCTTAATAAAAGTTTCTCATATTTGTTTCTGCATTCAACCTATTACGGTATATTGTTTTAGATGAAATATATGAAGAAAATGTGGCCTCCCACAGAGATGTAGTTGGAAAACAGAGGAGCTTTCCACCTCCTGAAAGAGTCATGGTGACCCCGACATTTTGGAAACCACTGATTTAGGTGATAATGAGCCAGGACATTCTAGAATATTCTTTTTGGGCTCTTTTAGAGTCCCATTAAGATTGTTGAGGTTTGGTGAATCTTTTGAGAGGGTTTAGAATTAACCACAGTGCCATATATTTGAGCAGCATCTTCTGGTTTCCAAATGGTTTTAAATACTTTTTCCTTGGAACAATAATGAGAACAGTACTGAGAATGACCAGGCAGGTGTGGAGCTTACCATGTTCCTCCATCCAGGAACACCTGTGGACTTTGGTCAGGAAGAAGGAAGAAGCACAGACCTCTCCAGAGTTTTGTGAAACTGCCACAGTCATCTAGCTTGTGGCAAAGCTGGGCGATGATGAGAATTGTACAGATTTTTTCCCCAGCCCACAGGAACTTTGAAATGACAAAATGGAAATTCATTTTAACATGAGGCTTAGGCCAGGTTTACTGAGCAGTGAAGCTGCTTCCCTTTCTCCCTTCCTTCCTTTTTTTTGTGACATTTAATTCTGCATTCAAACCTGTGAGATAAAGTTGATCTTTGACTGGTGTGAAGTGATGAACATGGTGTGTCTACACGCAGTTATTTATGGCAAGGCTACAAAGCGGGCTGACTGTTTTGTGAAACATTTGTGGGAGGAAGGCAGAGGGAAAGTTGTCTTCCAGAGGTGTGGAGGGGAGTGAAGCAAGTAAGTGGGACCACTTTTGCTAAGGAAACAGCAAAACTTGGAAACCAATAGGGGCAAGGCAGTTAGTTACTCTGTCTATAGAATGGAGACTGTCCACCTGTCTGTCTCACTAGTTGGTTGTGAAAATTCAGGAGAAAGTTGGTAATAACTTCATGAAGTACATTGATTAAATATTTGGAAGGTCAGAAGCTGTACCAGCGGACTAGACACACAGGTGTAGAGCTCATGCTGTGAGTAGTCCTGTGAAAATAAACTGGCCAAAAATTGAAGGACCACTTGACCAGTTCCTGCCCTGCATGGGGGACCTTCTCCCTACAAATAGGTCTTCATGTGAAATCCTGATCTAATTGTATGCCTGTCGAAGCCGTGTTGCTTTTCTTTTCTTTTTTTTTTTTTTCCTTTTTGAAATGGAGTTTTGTTCTTGGTGCCCAGGCTGGAGTGCAGTGGTGAAATGTCGGCTCAGTGCAACCTCTGCCTCCCAGGTTCAAGTGATTCTCTTGCCTCAGCCTCCCAAGCAGCTGGGACTACAGGCATGCACCACCACACCCGGCTAATTTTGTATTTTTATTAGAGACGAGGTTTTACCATGTTGGTCACACTGGTCTCGAACTCTTGACCTCAAGTAATCCATCGGCCTCAGCCTCCCAAAGTCCTGGGATTACAGGCGTGAGCCACCTCACCCAGCTGTCATGTTGCTTTTCTTCTTGCAAACTGCACAATGGTTAGAGCCTGAGATTATTTATTGAATGCCTTCTGTGTTTTAAGGTGTAGTGGGGTTACTGATGGGGGGATTTCCCACATCACCAGCCACAACAGTGGTTACTTGACAGCCTGGTATCACTTTCCTAACCATGAAACGTGGTGGTATCCCTGTCATGTCCTTTCAAGTGTTTGAAATTCGTGGTGTAATCTGTTTTGATTGACAGTGTGATTTTATGAGCAGGGAACCTGGATTTCTAGTCCTGTGCCTTCCTTTAACTAATTAGCCTTGTGATGTTGGTCTGATCCTTCCATCTCTGTGAACCTCTTTTGCCATCTGTAAAATGATCTTTATTATGTAAAATTTTGTGATTTTAAGATACACTTTATAATACTGGTAATCAGGTTCGTCTTACCGATTAGGGAACAGGACTGGGGCATCTTGGCTGGTTTTAAGGTTACTTAAGCAGTTGCTTTCCACAGAATTTAATCAAAGGGGTAAACTGTGTCTAGGTTATATGGTATGGCATTTAGTTGACAAGCATTTTAGATTCTATTCTTAGAAGGGAAAGAAATTGGCCTTGAGATGCTGACTTTTGGATATTTTAATTAAGCTTCTTATAAAGCTGTAAACCAAGTTCCTCGAGAGCAGCTTATAACTTTCATCTCTGTCTCAGGTGCCTAACACATAGTAGGCACGCACTCATAATATATTTAGCCAGAAAAATGCCAAAAATGTTAGAGACAGAATCAAAGTGAGACACCCTTACAGAGCCTCAGATGCTAGGGTAGAGGCTGAGGAGTCCAAGTTCAGAGCACGTAAGGAACAAGCGAGAAACTGAACTTTTTAGATAAAATAGGGTTTTTGTGATCAGATAGAATTCGCTGCTCACGGTTCTTGGTGTGGTTTGGTCTTCAATCTAAGAAGAGGCTGACGGTCTGCAACCTGCTGTTCTTTGTGTGTTACAGCAACATGGCCAATGCCCTGGCCAGCGCCACTTGTGAGCGCTGCAAGGGCGGCTTTGCACCCGCTGAGAAGATCGTGAACAGTAACGGGGAGCTGTACCATGAACAGTGTTTCGTGTGCGCTCAGTGCTTCCAGCAGTTCCCAGAAGGACTCTTCTATGAGGTGAGTTGTGCTAGACAAAAGCAGGGAGGTGCCATTCCCCGCCCTCCCGCTTCCTGCCCTTCTTTTCTGAGGCCTCCTCCTTCATGTTCAGTTTCATGATGAAAGACTGAATTTAAGTGTCAGATGCATGCCAGGTATTTGATAGCTATGAGGTCAGAGGTGGAATCTGTATGGCCCATATGGGCAGTGGCGTGGATGGGACACCCTCACAGACCCTGCATTCATATTGCTCAGTTCGTTGTCCTATTTCAGAACCCAGAGTCCCTTATGACAGAGCCTTTCAGACCTAAGCAGCTCAGCTCCACATAAAAAATTCTTTCCGAGTCTTCATCCACACTCAGGCCCCCAACACACCTCACCCATTCCTGTCTCTGTGTCTGCCCCCTTCTCAGAGGACCACTGGACCCGCTGTAAAGGAGAGTGTGTGGTGTACGTCACCCCCTCCACAACTTCCCAGCCTCGAGCCAGGAGCGTCCATGCATTTATTTTCTAAGGAAAAAATAAGTATTTTAGGGAACTATACTGTCTACATTTATCTACATTTAGCTCTTCTGGGTGTGTATGTTCTTTTCCAAATACTTGTTTTTCTTGGTCGTCAAGTGTTAGCATATGGTCTGCACTTCCTTTGTAGTGTATTTGGTATTCTCAACATTACTGAAACCCCTTTCTCATTGTTTTATATTGTTTTGTTTTGTTTGAGACAAAGTCCTGTTGTATAGCCCAGGCTAGAGTATAGTGGTATGATTATAGCTTATTGCAGCCTTGAACTGCTAAGCTCAAGTGATCCTCCAGCCTCTGCCTCCTGAGTAGCTGGGACTACAGGCATATGCCACCACGCCCGACTAATTTTATTTTTTCTAGAAACGGAATCTCCCTATGTTGCCCAGGCTGGTCTCGAACTCCTGGTCTCAGGTGATCCTCAGCCTCCCAAAGTGCTAGGATTACAGGCATGAACCACCATGTCCAGCCTACTGAAACCCCTTTCTCACAGTAAACATGTATTTTGGGGGATAATCTAGGGATGCTGACCCCAGGCTGTAAATGAAGGTGAGAATGAGGTATATGTGTGTATTAGATCAAATAGGTAATTTACTGTTACCACCTTACTTCTTACATATTTGTAC